TGTAGTTCAGACTGCCCTGGAACTCACTGTGTAGCCCAGGCTGGTCTCGAACTCTCAGTGGTCCAAGTGCTGGGATTACAGGTGTGCGCCACCATGCCCAGCTTAGCTATACTTTTTTAAATAAACTTTTTAAAATTTCGAAATGATTTCAAACTTCCAGAAAAATCACAGGAATAAAAATACAACTTGTACTCAAATGTGCTTGACCTATGTTCATCTGTTACTGACATTTTACCCTATCTGAATTATCATTTGACCATTCTCTCTTAAATATACAGATCTTTTTTCCTAAGTAATATTTTGCTGAACCATTCCAAACTACCCTACATTATATAAGATAAGTGCCAAATGTTTCAATGTTACATTAAACTGGTACATTTATCAACTTTAGGAAAGTTAATCTATCGCCTCTGTATAAATTTTGTTAGTTTGATCCAAAATTTTTTTCTTCTTTTCTTTGGTGCTGGGGATTGAACCTGGGGCCTTTGCACTGAGTTACATCCCCACCCCTCCCCCACATCCTCAATTTATTTGTTTGTTTGTTTGTTTGTTTGTTATCAGGGATCAAACTCAGGACCTTGCTCTTGCGAGGCAGGCAGCGGAATCACTGAGCTAAATCACCAGCCCACTCCTGCATTTTTTAATGCATAATGTCTATATAGATTAATGTGTTTCATTTTGGCAAATTGTTTTATTTTGTTTTGATTTGTTTTTTGATACCAGGGAACAAACTCAGGACCTTGCGCTTGCCAGAGAGGCACAGTGTCACTGAACTACAACCCCAGCTCCTCTTTTTTGTTTTTGTAAGGTAGGATTTTGCTGTGTAGTTTAGGCTGGCCTCAAACCCACAGTGATCCTCCTGCCTTAGCCTCCCAAGTGCTGGGATTATAAGCATGTGCCATTTTGTCAGATTTGTATATGCACATCACATATTTTAATCATTTCCCTCCTGTTTCCTCTCTCCTTTTTTATTTTTTATTTTCTGATAGGGTCTTGCTAAGTTTCCAGGCTAGATTGGAACTTGAAATCCTCCTGCCTCAGCCTCATAGAGTGCTGGGGTTACAAGTATTCACCACCAAGCCCAGCTAATTATAACTTGTTTTTCCTTTGAATTCAATTTTTAATATAGTATGAGATACTGCTTTCACTTATGTCTACTTACTCTCCTTTAATCAGAAACATTTCTACAGCATTTGTCTTCTGTGACATTAACATTTTTCAAGAATAAAATCCCTCTTCTCCCTTTTTATAGGTTGTTCCTCATTTTGGATTTGTCTGATATTTCCTTATGATTAGATGCAAGTTATACATTCCCAGATGGAAAATTATACAAGTAGGGCAGGGGAAAACTCTACATATATGATTTTGTGTCTTTAGGATATCACATTTGGTGGCACATGATATCCATGTACCTCTTGTTAGTGTTGTTAGTTTTGGTCACTTGGTTAATGGGTTGTTCTATTTCTCTACTGTTTAATTAAAATTTTTTTTAAACTTGGAACTACTGTGTACTCTATGGGTCTTAGGTATATCTTTTGTTTTTGTTTTTGTTTTTGTTTTTTGAGTTTTTTTGAGACAGGGTCTCATTTTATAGTTCATGCTGGCCCTGAACTCATTATGTATCTCAGGCTGGCCTTGAACTCTCAGCAATCCTTCTGCCTCTGCCTCCTGAGAGTTGGGATTGCGAGTGTGAGCCACCATGCCTGGCCATAGCTATATTTTATACTTGCTCAATATCAACTATAGGGAACTATCTCCCTAGTAGGAAACAAGAACTGGAGCAATCCAGTTTGGATAGGTGCTAATAACTTTCTGGAAATTTTGCCTGGTACAAAACCATTTGAGGCCATTATCTGTTATTTCTTTCTAGGCAAGCTCAGTAAAAGAGAGGCAGACTTTAAAGCCTTGTTTCGTTCATCTTATGTTTTGTTTTTTTGGGTGGGGGATTGAATTTGGGAACTTGCACTTGCAAGGCAGGCAGCAGCATCCTATGTTTAAAAAAACTTAATAGGATAAAATGAAAACATGGAAATAAAATGTCTGTAAATGGGGAGGGAAGGAGGGGGTGAGGAGGGCAGGGACAAGGGGAAAAAATGAGAACCAAGACCTGTCATGTAAAGGTACAAGATCCCAATAATGAATGTAACTGTACTGTATACCTAAAATGTACCAATAAAATCAATGAGAAAAAAAAAACTTCTTGGGCTGGAGATTTAGCTCATTGATTCCACCGCCTTCCTTGCAAGTGCAAGGTCTCAAGTTTGATCCCCGGTACCAAAAAAAAAAAACAAAAAACAAAAAACAGTTCTCAAAATAATTTTGGTTTTAGGAATGGAAAATTAATAAAGCCAAGATGATTTTAAAACTTTAATGTATACCACATTTTTCATTTATGATAAAATATAGATTGGTAGGGTTAAGATAGTTTATAAAATCAAGGAAAATCTATGTTGTATAAAGCGATCTGATTGTTCAATGTTTCTCATCACTAATAATATAATTTTTTTTTTCCTTTGGTTTTTTTTTAAGACAGGGTTTCACTGTATAGTGAGATTGACCTGGAACTCACTATTGTAGTTTAGGCTGGTATCAAACTCACAGCGAACCTCCTGCCTCCACCTCCTGAGTGCTGGGATTATAGGCGTGCACCACCACGCCTGGCACTAATAATATAATTTTTTAAATCTTTGTAATAATCATTGGGAAAATAAAATGAAAAAGAATTATTATAATAATAAAATTTCAGATAATGAAATAAATTTTGGAAACAGATGATGGTGATGATGATACACCTTGAGTGTTAGTGCTACTGATCTGTACATGTTATGGTAAATTTTATGCTATGCATATTTTACCACACACAGTTTTTAAAAATTTCAAATAGTTGGGAATGATGGTGTATGTCTATAATTCTAAGTGTTTGAGAGGCTGAGGAAAGATTACAAGTTTGAGGCTAGCCTGGATGACATAGTGACACCTATCTCACAAACCAAAAAAAAAAGAAAAGGAAAAACTTCCAATAATTTACTAGGAATATAGCTTACTGCTGAAACATGTGATAATGAATGCGATCATTATTTATATCTAAAATGTACCAATAAACTTAACTATTAAAAAATTTAAAAAGTAATAGATATGTTTGCTTCCAGAAACTTTACCTGGCAGCCTAGTGTAGTAATTGTATGGTCTCATAGAAATAGCCTTATCACCTTTATTTTTAAGAGTTTATACCAAGAGAATAAATACAAAATAATACTAATTAACAAGTAAAGAAATATATCTACTTCTCCATTAACTCTTATAAATGTTCACATATATATCTCCAAATAAATTATCAGTTAAGTTACAAAAAAAATTACTTTCCAGAGGTAATATACGTACTAAATGGCAGAGCATCCAAGTTCATGATGTTATTACACATGTATCTACAAACAAATGTGTATTCAAATGTCTCTTTTAAATTACGTTAATATTCAGCTTCAGTTTGAAAACAAAAACACCAAATCACCTTCCAATTTAAAAACATGGTAGGAGCTAGGTATGTAGCTCGTTGAAAGAGTGATTGCCTAACATGTTTGGGGCCCGGGGGGTCAAGGCTCCCGTCACCGCATATAGAAAGGATCATGTAAAAACTTGTTTTGCCATTAAATATAATGTTACAAAGAGGTATCTATCGTGCAGTTTGAATTTTTAATTCATTTTAATAAAGCAGTTACATCCTAAGGAGGATAACAGCTTCATCTCATTGTTTGAGATGAGAATTTATCTACATTTTACATTTTTTTTAATAACTTGTGATGTAAATTAAGATTTTTTTCATTTATTTTCAGATTATTAAAACCTGAATGAAAATTTAATATATCAAAAACTGATTTTCATACTTTTTAATTAGAACATTGGTGATAGTAATTTGTTAGAATTTTCTTTTTTTATCTTTGGGGTATTTTAAAATTCAGTAGTATGCCACTACTAGAACAGATAACACATATTTACTATTCCTACCTTATGCTTTGTCTTTGTTTTTGTGTCTGTGAATTTGGTAAAATATATGTAACAAAATTAACCTTAACCAATTTTTTAGAATCAGATTCTACCCCCACCTTTTTGTATATGTGTATAGTTCAGTGGCGTAGTGATTATTCACAGTGTGGTACAAACATCATCACCATCCATCTATATAGAATTTTTTTCATCTTCCCAGAGTTTGAATACCTGTGGACCATTAGCTGTTGATATCTTCTATCACCATTTTAAAAAATTCTAAATTAAAAATTTACAGCCGGAGATTTAGCTCAGTAGTGCCACTGCCTGCATTGCAGGTACAAAGGTCCAGAGTTTGCTCCCCAGTACAAAAAAAAAAGAATAGCTCAGTGGTGCTGCCACCTATCTCGCAAGTGAAAGGTCCTGAGTTTGATTCCCACTAACAAAAAAAATTACAGGTATTATTCTATGTATAGTGCTAGACATTCAAGTGAGTTATGGCATTACCTAAAATAGAAAATGTACTCATAATTTAGTAAGCCGGGAAGGAATAACAGTGATATTCCTGAGTATGTACTTGCCTATAAATAAAAAATAAAACTTTCTTGTTTAGCATGTATAAAATTAGTTTATTCTTCATCACTGCAATAAATAAAGATAACAGTCTCACACAAAAGTATCATGATATGCATCATCGTATAGATATTTTTGCCTGTGACTCTCTCCTTAGTTTAGGTGTTTTATAAAAGTAATACCTGAGCCTCGCATGGTAGTACATGCCTGTAATCCCAGCACACTGAGAGGCTGAAGCAGGAAGATCACAAGTTCAAGCCCAGCCTGGGCAATTCAGCAATTTAATGAAACCTTGTCTCAAAAAAAAAAAAAAAAAAAAAAAAAAAAAGTTTAAGAAGAGATGAGTATACAGCTCATTGCAGAGGCCCTGGGTTGTTTTTGTTTGTTTGTTTTGTTTTTTGCTCCCTAGTAGTACCAGGGGGAAAAAGTAATACTTGGATGAAAGAATATCAGCATTTTTAAAGCTTAATTCATGTCACTAAATTGCTTCTAGAAAGGCAAACAATTACCACTTCTACCACATTTCACTGCACTCATTTTGGAATAGTGTTATAGAGCTTTTTTCTCTCTCTCTCAGTGCTGGAGATCAAATCCAGCCTCATGGATGTTAGGCAAGCTCTATCACTGATCTATACCCCAGCCCTGAGTTGTTTTTTTTAAAACATACTTATTGAGTTAAAATTCACATACTGTTTAGTTGATCTATTTAATGTAGTCAGTTCAGTGGCTCCTATTTTGTTTTTTTTTTTATTTGTGATATTGGAGGTTGAACCCAGGGTCTTCATACTGGGATACACCTTCCTCTCCATTTTTTGAGACAGGGTCTTGCTAAGTCACTGAATTGCCCAGAGTGAATGCCAATTTGTGATCCTCCTTCCTCAGCTCCCAATGTGCTAGGATTACATGCACATGCCACCACACTGAGCCCATTCAATTTCTTTTTTTCCCCATGGCTTTTAATACATTGATTTGTGTAACTATCACCACAATCAATTTTAGAACATTTTCACTATTCATAAAAGAAACTTTGGGGGCTGGGGATTTAGCTCAGTGGTTCCACAGCCTGCCTCGCAAGCCCTCGGTCCCAAGTTTCATTCCCAGTACAAAAAAAGAAAAACAAAACCCATGAATCAAAAAAGAAACTTTGGGGACAAGGATGTGGCTCAGGGGCACCGTGCCTGCCTGGCAAATGCAAGGTCCTAAGTTCGATCCCTAGTACCAGAGAGGCACGCACACCCATACACACTTTATACCCATTAGCATTCTCTCCTTATCTCCTTACCCACACTTTTTATTTTTTGGTACCAGGGATTGAACTGGGTCTTTTCACTTGTGAGGCAGGCGATGGCACCACTGAGCTAAATCCCCAGCCCTTATTTATCTTTTTATCAACTGATAAACATTTGGGTTAGTTCCACCTTTTAGCTATTATTTGTAGTGCCAGTATGGACATTTTTGTACAATTTTTTTGTGGACATTGTTTTCATTCTCTTGGTTATAGTTATAGGAATGGAATCATAGGGCCATATAGTGACCTATATATATTTAACCTTTTGAGAAACTATTAGGCTGTTTTACAAAGTGACCATATTAGTATACATTCTCACCAGCAGTGTATAAAAATACTTGTTATATGACTTTTTTATTTTAGCTATCATGATACAACAAATAGTATTTAATTGATTTTTTTTTAATTTTTGTTTCCCTGATGATTAATGATGTGGAACATCTTTTCATGGGCTTTTTGGAGCAATATACTCTTTGTAACAGAATCCGATTAATAAAATTGTTGTGAACTCTATGAAGTAACTTTGCTTATTGTAGTTTTAAAAGCCACAACCAGCCTTGGCAAAAGGGCTAGGAAAAAAAGACTGGCTGCACAACCAAGAAACATATCACAGAATCCTTCTGGCAAGGACACAGCTTGCATGACCAGCAGTGCAATCCCTGACCTTGCTGCTGTACTTCACGCTAATCGCTGAATATTGCTATTGATTCTGTTATAAGAATGTATCACTTTTTAGTATATGTGCTGCCAAAGCAAGCACAGAATCTATCACTTTTTCATTTCTCTGCGTAACCAGCTTCAGATTCAAAATCCCAAACAAATCTGATAAAGGATCCCAAGTTATTAAACTTCCTCCTGACTTTGAGCAAAGGTGATGTATCTAGAGGAAGAGAGGACTCAGAAGTAGGAAATCCTTCAAAGGAAAGGGTTTCACATTCTGATCATCTTCTGACCCCACACAAAAGAAGAAAACTTTTGAGCCAAAAAATGTTTAATAATTGGGCAAAATTGTTTGCTGCATTTGGTGAGGATCTTTTCAAATCACATTTTATTCAACATGCCCAGTGTTTGGATACCTGTGAAGAGTTAGCTGATGGTATTGTCACCTGCTACATAATGGAAATAAAAATTGATATAGTCAGCATGAAGTAACAGGCTATAATTAAAAAGCAAGAGAAAATGATGAGAGACTTTAGTTTGAGGAGTAAAAGCTGAGAGGAGGGGGTATGGCTCTGACAAAGATCAAACTGGACCCCTAATGAAAGAAAGTAAGAGAAGATAAGGACTGACCTTCAGTTTGAGAAACTGAAGGGGGTGTCAGTCTGATGAAGAGAATCAGACTGGCCTGTTAAAGAACAGGGACCAGTTTTATCTGGTGCTGTGGTGGGCTCTAGAAGAATCAGGCTTGAGTATGATTTGAGGGACAGGCAGTTCAGTTCCTAGATGATAGCTCTCACTTGGAGGCAGCATTGGTTTCCCTTGTGGGATAATTGAGAAGGTGACCTCATCTTGGTGTGATCTATGAGACTCTTGGTTTTCCTGGAGTCCAAGGATTGAAGGTTTGGGAGATTGTAAACCTTGTCTAGAACTTCTGGGCATTACTCCAGAGGGTCTAGAACTGGACTTTGTGAAAGTTGGTTATTGGCTGTACCTGCAAATCCTGAAAATGACTTTAGTTACTTAGTAGCCTCAGTCTTAAAGGGGGATGGTATAGCCTACATAAATTTAGTGCTAACAAACCTTGTTTTACAGACAGTCTTTAAGTGATTAATATGGCTGTGTGCATAGCTGAGGAGGGATCTGACCTAAAGTTTTAAGGTATTAAAGGAGACAAAACTGAAGGCAGAGATGCCAAGCTTCATCCTGCTTTTAGTTATATATTGGCCATCTGCAAGTATAGCCTCTAGGTCTCTGATACAATACCTTCTGTCAACTTTTAAAAATAACATATCAGGGCCGGGGATTTAGCTCAGTGGTCCCGAGTTCCATCCCCAGTACAAAAAAAAAAAAAATTAAAAAAAAAATATCATTTGTATAGGTGGAAGGTACAGTAATAATCAATTAAAAGTGCTTTTTCTGATTATGTACTTACCTATGTTATTTTTAATGGCGGGGCGACAGTACATTAGAATTCAAACCCTTGAATTTTCCTCCTGTTAACAGTCCAATACTTTGCAATCAGCTGATTTCTCTTTGGAAGATGAGAAAAATCTCTTTGCATTTGGAAGATGTTTGTTTTTCCTCAAACTAATTTTGTGAACCCGTTGATCTATTAACATATTCCTTGTAATTCATATACAGAGTATGGTCTAGATGCTGTGGAGAATGAAAGAAGTAAATAGTATTAGGGATTTAAATCAGTGGCGCTGCACTTACCTCACAAGTGCGAGGTCCTGAGTTCAATGCCTGGTACCAAAAAAAAAAGAGAAGTAGATAGAAGTTAAGTATGTTGATGCATCCCTGTAATCCCAGCACTGTGGGGGCTAAGGTAATAGGATCACAAGTTCAAACCCAGCCTGGGCAACCTTACATAGCAAGACTTTGTCTGAAAATTAAAAAATAAAAAGGGCTGGAGATGTAGCTCAGTGCAAAGGCCCTGAGTTTAATACCAGTACCCCCCCCAAAAAAAAGTAGGTAGGTAAGGTATACTTTCTGCATAGTAGATATTATGTTATAACACTAACTCAGAATCTGCATGTATATAATATAGTGATCGTGGGAACCAAAGTAATTTCGTAGAACTTAGGAGTGAGGTGTATAAACTTAGTTTTGGTTGTTTAACACATTTAAATTTTTAAGTAAGGATTCCTATTTGTGAGTAGAGTGTATCCTTTTCAACTCATCCTATGGACTAATTTTAAAGTTACCTTTTTCCTCTTTTTTAAAAGTTTAATACAGTTTTTCAGTAAAATGAAGAAGTGGATGGACATGTTAAATCTGCCACAAGAATTTCGTGAACGTATAGAAAGACTGGAGAGAAATTTTGAAGTATCTACTGTAATTTTTAAAAAATTTGAGCCAATTTTTTTAGATATATTTCAAAATCCATATGAAGAGCTACCAAAATTACCAAGAAGCAGGAAACAAAGGTAAGATCCTTAATCCTTACATATTGGCATAAAGATTATCATATAAATTTATTGGGAGAGTTCTTTTTCAAAAGTAGGCATTTTACCAGATGGATCTATTTGCAAAAACTTAAATATTTTAAAAATCATGTATCTATGTCAGGTGTGGTGGTGTATGCCTGTAGTCCCAGCACTTGGGAGGCTGAGGCAGGAGGATCGGTATGAGTTTAAGATCAGCCTGGGCTACGTAGTGAGTTCCAGGTCAGTCTCAACTATATAGTCAGACCCTGTCTCAAAAGAAAAAAAAAAAAAAAAAATCCATGTATCTGGAAATTAAGGGTAATATTTTCATTTGTTTTTGTTTATTCCTACCTTCTTTAAAGATTGAAAAAAAATAAAATAAAATAAAGATTGAAAAGGCTGGGCTGGGTAAAATTTAGCTCAGTGGTGCCGCTGCCTGCCTTGCAAGCCCAAGGTCCTGAGTTTAATCCCTGGTACAAAAAAAAAAAAAGATTGAAAAGCCTTATTAAAAAGCCTTA